CAGCATATCAACTGAATGCCAAACACAAAGATAAAACAAATCTTTTATAATTAAATATTTAAAATTCCTTTTAGGATTTTGGGAAAATTGCCAGCCAAACAATATGATTATCTAATTAGTCATCAACACTCCATAGGTCTGTAATCATCATTTCACAATAATATATAATTTATTAACTCTGCCAATATTCAATTTTAATGATCTATCTATTCTAGCACACAGCAAGATCATTTGTACTACTTTCTTCTTTCAATACGTCGTAGAAGATGTTGCGTCAGTGTCGCAAACTATTTTTTCGATATTGTTTTTTTTTTTTAATTTTTCTTTTGTTTCGAAATTTTTTGTTGTTTTTGCATTTTCTCGTGATGAGAAAATTTCTATATTTAGTTACATCAAAATACATTTACTACGTTAATGTTTTGGAGTTTCTTTAAAATTGTTGTTTTGATCTTAACTCATAAATAGTTTTGGAATGTTTTAAATGCTAAAATATGAGCTCTTGTGTGAAATGAAGTGAAATTTTAAAAAATTAAATAAACGCCTTCGCTTTTGTTTTCGTTGTGTCTGAAAGATCGACTGAGTGTTTGTGTAAAAGAGTGGGGGCAGAATTGTTCTTAAAATGTCTGCAAAATTTGAATTATTAGTTGCTATTTGAGAAACTGGTCATTCGCTTGATTTCACTAATATTATATATTACTGTATAAACTGACAATTATTGTCAATTAAAAATGAAATATTTATAACCATCAGTGGTTCTTAAATCGGTTTTTACAAGAGACAAATTTTCAGAATGATATGACTGATGATTGATAGGGGGATGTATACTAACTAACTAACTAACTAACTAACTGACTAACTAACTAACTAACTAACTAACTAACTAACTAACTAACTAACTAACTAACTAATTAATTAACTAACTAACTAACTAACTAAGTAACTAACTAACTAACTAATTAACTAACTAACTAAATAACAAACTAACTATAGAATTATATTAAAATCTGTTTATTCTAGAAATGATTTCCTCTCGTTTGTTAGATTGACATTTGTATAACTCTGGTTGGTCTATCACATAAATATACATACGCCAACATCACTTCCATTATTACCTAAAGTAATAGAATTACAGTAGTTTAAATTAAAAATAACAATGGCCAAATGGATTAATATTAAAAATAAGTTTTTGTGCCACAAACACAACCGGACAAGTCCATAAGATGTGGGGGTCTAAACAAAATTATTTTTATCTATTTAATACTTGTTTTTGTTATTTAAGTCCATAAAGTACTTGTCTTAAATACACCATAAAAATTACAAAATTTAAATACAAAAAACTCCTCATTACAAATAAGGCTAAAACCAGACAATTTTATTTTTCTTACACAGTAAAATGAAAACAAATAAATTATTTAAAATTAGGTTAAAATGAATTGCGAAGAAAACAAATAAAATTACTAATTTGAAACAAATTATTGCGTATTTAAATGTTGTGATATTATAGAAGATAATAGATATTAACACTAATTCGTATAAGTAAACAATAAAAAGCTGCCTTTTAAGTTTTTTTTTTGGGGTTTAATGAACGTTTATTCATTCAGCCTTCCACCCACTAATTAAATACATAATTGTGTATTATCTTTTGCGTGTTTTATTAAATTATTAAATATAAATTTAGGCATAAATTTATTTTGATATTATTATGTAAATTATTTCCTAATTATTTTTAAAATACTTACATACATATTTTCATTTACTAGAACAAGATCTTTGGTCTACAAGATAATTCTTTAGTCTTTGTTATTCTCCGAGACAGAGTTTTGAGCTTATAAATATTAAGAAAATATTCGAGGATATTCCGCGATCTTAACAAAGTACTTGTATATTTTATTATTTTAGAAAGGATTTGAAAAATTCACAATTGTAAAAATATGCGACGGCACGATTTATGGCACTGCGTTAATCGTGTCGTCGCCGCCTAAATTACAGTTTAACTCCTAGTAAACAAAATTTTCAATTCGTACACAATTATTTTCAAACATTCATGAGAATTCTCGGAATTAAAAAAAACTTTTAGAACAATTCATGTAGGCATTTCATTTAAAGCATCATAATAAGTACATTACTAAATACATTGCGATACATTAAAACGTTATATGGATTTATAAATAATGTTATGCGGTAATTTCATGTAGTAATTTGTTAGAATTATTTTAAACATAAATGATGAGACCAAATACAAAAGTACGTGGGTACAATCACATTTAAATGAATACAAATTATAGTGTTAAATTATGTATTTTATACAAACATAAATATTATGTGAACATTATAATTATTACATGTCATTTGAAGGTACGTGTCTAATTTCTCTATCATCAACTAAAAAACAAATTTCAATTAAGAAAATTCAATCTTATGAATTTTTATTTTATTTTTAAATGATTGACGGCATTATGCGGTTTAACTGTTTTGAAAACCTTTAATAGGAGTTTGTTTAAAAACAATGAAAGTTTTACACTTACAACTTGATTTTTTTATAATTTTGGGTGATAACATAAATTATCCATGGGACACTGTCTGTCATACATATATACGATTTGTTGTTTTGTTCATATAACGCATGAAGAATTTTTTATGCTGAAAATCAAATCAATAAAATATAGTTGTAATTTATTTATTTTTTTTTTTTTTTATTCATATTCCAACAGGCGACAGCAGAAGCCACACAGCTGTTGCTTTTGTTGGGCTAATGTGTCACAATAAAATTTTAACAAATATTTGTTGTTTTTTGTAAAAACAACTCAAAACAAATCAAAACCATAACAATTGCAATGTGCGAATGGTATAACAGGAGACAGACAGACAGACAGACAATGGACTCATGCAATGATTTATTCGATAACATTGCCTGCCAATTTGTAGGTGTCAATTTTTATTTTTAGCCTGAAAACACTGTAACATACAAATTGACTAAAGAATTTTTTAAACTTTATGGTTTGAAAACAAAAATTAATCGTTTTTTTAAGAATACCGCAATTCCTAAATAAACTTTCAAAATTACCTTAAAAGGTTTTTGAAATAACTAGTACATACAATGGAATTTGCTGATGTTCCTGGCAAAAATTTGGATAATTTTTAAAGAAAAGTTGTAAATTTAACTCTAAAATGTATGTAAATTCAATATCACGTTCTCTTCATAAAATTTCATTGAATTGGAACTAACTATTTAGTACTAACATTTATGCTATTTTCTCCAATACGCAAAGGTCGCTTGCCGTCAGTAGTATCAATTGTAACAATCATATTACCGTTGTAATGTTTGTGTCTTTGGTCTTTTGTATGAGAAGTATTACCATTCAATAATAATAAAAACTTTCAACTTAAAGTTGCCATACGTTTGACAGTTTCACCTTGACACTTTATCCCATCTGGCAAGTCTTTTATACAAAAACAAAAACCTTAGTTGGCAACACTTATTCTGATAAGTGAATTTTTATTTGCAAAAAAAAACAATTCTATTAGAAATTAATTTTAAAGTGCCGGATACTTACACATAAATATTTTAATATTGACGAAATATTTTAAATTTTTTTCAAACAAAATACAAAAATCTCTAACAATCATGAGTGGTGGCAAACATTTGGCAAAAGGTAAAATTAATAAAAACTAAAGTAACTTTTTGCAAGAAATTTCATTTGGCAAAAAAAGATTGTAGAAAAACAAGTATTATGACAAAATTCTAATTTTATAATACACTTGTATACACACTTAATTATTTTTTGCTTATAAACCACAAAAAATACATACAAATGACTCATTCTTATAATTGTTTCACAAAAAAGGCTCTTCAAAACCTGAGCTTCCTGATGATGGTGTTTTGCGTTTGTATTCCATGCGTTTTTGTCCCTATGCCCATCGTGTTCATTTAGTTTTGGATGCCAAGAAAATTCCTTACCATAGCATTTATATTAATTTACACGATAAACCCGAGTGGTTGACTGAATACAGTCCCTTGGGCAAAGTGCCAGCTCTACAACTTATTACTACCGAAGGAAAGCCGGCTTTAATTGAATCCTTGATAATTGCCGAATATTTGGATGAAATGTATCCAGAACCCAGACTCTTCCCTAAAGATCCTTTGAAAAAGGCCCAAGATAAAATACTCATTGAACGCTTTAACTCTGTTATAAGCGCCATGTATAAAATATTTGTCAACACCGAAGTATCGCCCGGTGCAATAACTGATATATCAACTGGTTTGGATATTTTCGAGAAAGAGCTTAGAGCACGTGGTACACCCTTCTATGGGGGCGAAAAACCCGGCATGTTGGATTACATGATTTGGCCTTGGTGTGAACGTTCAGAAATGATTAAATATCTATTGAATAATAAATACGAAATGGATAAGGAACGCTTTGAACAATTGGTATGTTATCATCCCGTGCACTTAGCTTAAGTATTACCATTTGTTTATTTAATTTTTTTTTTAATTGTTTAGCTTAAATGGCGTGACCTAATGATAGAAGATGAAGCTGTTAAATGCTTCTACTTGGATGGTGAAACCCATGCTAAATTCATGAAAACTAGACGCGAAGGCACTCCTGACTACGATATGCTTGTGTAAGCTTTTTATAAAATTTTCCATATATCATATTAAACCTTATTAAAATATTAATATTAAACAAATACTTAAATATGTACTTAAGCGAAATTCTTTCAAAGAGTTTTCATATCTTACTCTCAAATAAATGTCCCCATTAACTTGCCTGGGCTTACTAATTAATTAATATTTTTCTCATTACATTTTTCTTTCTTTTTTTCTTATAATTTTTTATTTTGTTGCAGAAATCCCACTAAACGTCAACGCACTTGCTAAACAGTTTCTCTCCTACCCTTTTCATAGTACATATTGAAAAAAAGTAATTTCTGTTACGTTTGAAACGTAACTTATTGAAGAAATAACTTTTTACGCAACTGGCATCTGTTATTATTTTATCTTTTGTTTATAGAGGTTATTTCCATGCTTAATTATTTTTATATTATTTTTCTAAAAATAAAAACCTATTTTTTACCTATGTGCTAACATCAACAAATTTATAGTATACGTTTTGAATTGGCTTTATCTAATTGGATGCTACGTGGTAAGAAATAAATAAAAATATTGCAATTAAAATTAAATAAAAAGAAAAATGTTGTCGTTTTCAATTAAACTTACTTTTTATACATACACATTGAATATGCATACAAGAAAGCAAGAATTCAAATACATACTTCGAAACTGTATAGATTGTTGCGGGTGATCTGAACCTAAAGTAGAGCTGCTGGCACTGTGGTTTGTTTGTGTTTTATCTGTTGTTTATTAGTTAATTTGTTTATATGTTTCAATTTGTTTGTTGTTTTGTCCTAGATGTTAAGCCTGTGGATTTCGTTGCTGATGTTTTCTGTAGTGATGGTTGTTGTTTAAGGCTGTGTTTTTTTGTTATTCTGAAAATTGGAGAATGATTTATTTATGTAAAAATATTAAATGTATGCACTTACCTTTTTTATATTTACTTGGACACGTTTATATGTATATATTTTATTGTTTTTTTTGGTATTGTTTGTTTGCATGTGATTTATTATGAGTTTCTTCTTCTTGTTGTATGTTTCGTATGTGTTTGGTTGTGTGTCAGCTGTTCGGTGTAGGAACGCCTTTACTATAATGTAGTAACGCGGCGATATGGCGTAAAGAACAGGGTTGCATTTTCCATTCAGGAATGGAAAATAATAATTTTGGCGGGTTTCGAAAATGAAAATAAATTATGAATGGAAATAAGATTTGCTAATTTTTATGAGAACCTGATACCATAATAATTGCAGACAAAGATTCGGATGATGATTATGGGTCAGGAGGAGTAGGAAAGATGCCTGTATATGCATAAGGAATTGGGGAAAACCAGATACATAAATGTAATATAAACATTTGGCTGGCAGCTATAAAAGATTTAAATATATATTTCAAATAAATAAATAAATAAATGTAAATACTTACAGTTAACGGTATGAAAACTGGCAACATGGATTTTCCAGTTAATTTGCAAAAGACAAAGAAGTTAAGTTTAGTAGAGAAAAAGAAAATTTAAAAGCGATACTAAAGCCGTCAAGTAAAGACGTTAAAAAAAAAGTGAAGAGGAAAATATATTTGAAAAGTGTGTGGTTACAGTATAAATTTTTTTTGTGTGTGAGACTAAAAGAATTAAAGGGAAACGTAAGTTTAAAATAATAAAAAAAATGAATTTTGAAATGTTTCCTAAAATTGGAATTCTTTTAAAACAGCTGGCTATTATTATCTGGAGAAAAGGGCACCGAATAGACGTCTTCCCAAACCACACGCAAAGCAAATATAATAGCCAGGTAACCCTTTTTTATAAGTTTTAAGTGCAAAACAAAATTTTTATTCTTGCCAATGGCCCAGTGGCAGAGATGTTGTTAATGTGGCAAAGTGTATAACCTGGCAAACATAATTAGTACTCTGCATTACGATAATGATTTTCAAAGAAAACTTTCTAATTCAAAACTGGGAGAAAGATAAGAAGTGCGAGATTAGAAAAATTTTGAATATTATTCTCCTATATAAACGGATCAAAACAAAGTTAATTGAAAAGATTGATAAAAGATAAATAACGCTTTCCTGGATGTAGATTAAGTTAATTTTAAGTTAGTAGTGTTTTTGTGAACAAAAATTATAAGTGTCGCGTTGATTGTTAGTTTAGGTGTATGTGTTGTCTACTTATGTGTGTAAAATACACTTATCCCTCGATTATTGCTCAATAATAGAAAAATTTAAATCTAGAGCCCAAGTAGCGCGTTAATTTATTTGAATTTACTGCATAATGGCAGATGAGATTAGGCTTAAGAGAGCTCTTTTAGGTGTAGTCAATGTTGTAAACGTTAAGCCTGAAATAGAGGGTAAATAGTTAGCTTGAGCACTAGATAGCTAGAATAAACTTACAAAGATAGGGTAAAGTAATATTAAAATGCGAGGGAAAAATGTATAAATATGATTATCGATGTTTTGTTATAAATTATTGTTATCTTTCTTAGTCAAAATAAGTCGAAATGTTCAAATCCAATTAATAAAAGATGTGATTGGTATATTTTAAAACTAATATTTATGAGGATTTATTGAATAACAAGGTGAAGGTGATGATGGAATGGTAAGTTGAGGGTAAAGGTCAAGCGGAAATGGGTCGTTAGCCAAAAATGATGCGGATGCAGCTACGACAAGGTCGGGAGGGCAGATGAGACTGTCAACTGTCTCAAGATTCTTCGTGTGGTAGATTCGTTGGTGTAATTTCTGTTTTAATATAGTGTTTTTGTAATTCTTTTGTTTACTGTTCGGAGTTGTGCCTGGTGAGTAGGGTTGGAACCGCCTGAGTATAAATACATGCCAAAGCTAGCTGGAAACCTCGCCAGAATCACGTTCCGTAACAAGATTTATAATTAAAACAAATTTCTAATTAAAATATTGAAGAAAAATGTCGAAGGACTTTTATTTTAAAATCTAATAAATATTATTTTGTTTTAAATTGTGTTCATTTATGTATTAATGAAGCGTTGTCTTGTTTTCATTTCTTTAAGTTTCATTCCATTAAAATTCGTTTAACGATTTCGTTCGATCTTTCAACACATCGTAATTTTGATTAAATTTTGTTTCTTTTTTGGTTTCTGTGTATAGGCCTCGTTTATAAAATGGTCTTAAGTTGTTAAGCCATCTCCTCAATATTAAGCTGGGGATAAGGTTGATCTTAAATAATCTGTAACTACATAATATTATAAACTATACCTATAGAAATATAATGAAATACTAAGCATACCTGTTGAGGCCTCGTGTCTCGTTTGATTTGGTGAAGTGCATAAAACGGAAGTACTGTTAGATAAATTGGAATTTGTGCTGCCATTTAAAACTTGTGTTCTTGGATGTTGCGGTTGTTGTTGCTGCTGCTGATGTGGTTGACGATTGGAGTTTAGCTTTTTATGGTTGTTACTGGATGATGTTGATGAACTACTTATAGAAATATATGAAAAATTTAAGTTTTTGAAATTGTTATAGACAACATAACTTACTTTTTCTCTTTGTCTTTTTTATTATTAAACATGGCCAATTCGACTTCAGTATGTTGACTGCTCATATGACGCACCCATTCAGCAGGTGTTTCAAAACGTCTAAAGAAATATAAAGAAATATTAATTTTTAACTTCAAGTTGCCCATTTTTTACTAAAAGCTTACGTAGTACAAAGATCGCATTGCAAACAAACATGATCGGTTGTATTTTCCTGCTGCTTTAGGATAAAAATTTTAAATACTCTTTATTTAAAAAATTATATTTTTTAAGTATTTAACAAATTTACCGAAATTCGTCGTCTCTTCTTTGGCACATAGGATTTTGAAAGCGTGGGAGCATCACTGCTAGTGGAAGCATTGAAACCCGACGAACATGGAGTTGCTGTATGAGTCTCTAAATGTCGCACTAGTGAGGCTTTATCCTCACAAGTTTTATTACAAATGTCACAGGAAAAGTACCGATCGAAATCGTTTGCTATCGGTGGCTGTAGAACAGAAGATGGAGCTGGAGCCAATAACTGGCGACAATCGTTTTCCATATTATGGATGGAGGAAGAAGGAGATGTTTCAGTTTTTATATGAGTTGCTTGAAAATTTTCAACTTTGCTAATAATTTTACTTGAAGACTCGACATTGTTTTGATGCGTTAGTGCAGAAGAAGATGAAGGTAACCAATCAGTGGGTTCCTCTTTAATGGTGACAAATGGTGTAGGTTCTTGTTGTATATGGTTAGTAGGTGAATCTAAAGGACTTATTTCATTCACACTCCCACCGCCACCAACGCCCTCTATTCCTCCACCTACTATACTTTCACGTATGATACTATGTTTGGTGTGCGCTATGTGAGAGATATGATTTGGATAGTGTTCTGTAACGGCATAATCATGAATAATATCCGAACGTTCTGCTGGAAGACTGGATCTACGCATTTCATGTTCGTATATGCGAGATGAATCCTCTTCTTCCTCCTCATCTCTACAATCATTGGAGGCATGTCGTAAATAATTCTGTTCTTCACATCTCTCTAAACAAGATTTTCGACACAAAACCGTTGGATCATCACTTTGACTACGTTCTCGTCGTAAAATCAAAGGCTGAAGATTGTCAGCCACACGTGGACAACTATTGCAGCCAATTTCATTGCATATGGAAGAAGGAGCTTCACTTACACCGGGATTTGCTGGCAGCGAATCCTGTGAATAATCACCCGGATCTATAGCCACTTGTTTATTTACAGTTATGCCACTTGAAGGTGGTTTCGTTATTCCAGCTGTTGAGGAAGCCAATGTACTCAACGGTTTCGGCGATTTTATTATAACTGGGCTGTCTTTGGGCATTACTGAGGCGCCTAGACCCCGTGAATGTTGTTGTTGTTGTTGTTCCATCAAATATCTTACAGAAGTGGGTCCACTATTCATTGGCATACGGGTAAGATTGTAAGACGATGATGATGCTGAATTCGCTGACGATTGGTTGTCTATATTTCGATTTTGTTGCGGTTGTTGCACAGTCGTATTGGATGTAGTATTCGTAGAAGTACGACATAGACCACGAATCTTTAAGATTTCCCCACCTCGCAAAACCTCACTCAATATATCATTCGATACAGTTGCCTCGCCCACATACATGTATTGCACCAATATCTGAATGGCACGATGACTTAAATCAGGTGGGAGTACAATATAAAATATGCCATTATTGTTTATGGGCGAGGTTTCAAAAATTGTGGAAAAGAACTAAAAGCCATGAAAATTTCTTTATTAGAAATAAGTTTCACAAAAATATTACATAACTCACCTGACTACATGAACTTAGAATAAATTTATGGGCTGATATACCAACAGTAGGCATGGCGTTAGTAACAGATCCAGTAGTATTGGAACTATATAAAACAACATCTGCGTACTTTTCATTTCTTCAAAATAATAAAAGATTATAATTTTAGATTTCCCGATTCCAAATAAACATATTTAACATACTTGTATAATGTTGCAACCGATGAATTCAAGTAGGATAAATGCGAATCCCATTTAAGATGATAGTTTTCTGCAGTCATTGTGTGAATTTACATTGGAATCTAAATTTTTTTTGCAAAAATAAGGAAAAGTTTATATTTGAATAATTTTAAAATTTGTAACGCTTTACATGAACTAAATATATAGCTGTTAATTAAGCGATTTTTTACTTCCATTTGATTTCCACAAAATCGCTACAATTTTAATCTATTTTGATAACAAATAACGAATATTTTAATCTGGCAACTCTTTCATTTTGTTTATGTTGGATTCTCTTTTTTCTATTTCTTTGCATTATTTTTTGCGTGAAAAAATTGTCCTGCATTACAATTCCTAGTGTAAATTGTTGAAAAAATGTCAGTTTTTCACACGGATATAGATTTTGACAGTAAATTAATTGACTTGGTGCGGGCAAATCCCATACTATACGAAAAGGATTTGAGAACTACGCCGTATATGGACATGAAAAAGAAATTTGAGCTGTGGAGCCATATAGCCACGTCCTTGAATCGAGACAGTAAGTAAAAACTTTACTTTTTGCATTCGTAAACAAACATTTGTTAATATGTACTATTAATTTCTGCAGCCAAATACTGCATTTTAAGATGGAAAAGTTTGCGCGCAAAATACAGACGAGAAATGGTTAAATTGGGCAAAGAGTCCGATTGGGTTTTATTTGACGAAATGAAGTTCATAGAAAGACATATTAGATACCAATCGTAAGTAATTTTTGGGATACATATTTGGAAAAAACTTAAACTTTGGAAACTCTTAAATTGTCTTTATTACAGAACTCAACGTAATCTAAAAAGTCCGGAACATCAAACAGTTCCAGTTAATTACAGTAACATGGATGCTGAACAACTTATAGAAGAAGTTTTAGATGATGATCCCTTGCAGGAGGCAATGGATGAACAAAATAGCACTTTTACGCCCTTCAAAGACAAAACTATAAACTCTCCTCCTGCTAGTATGGATGCCAATAAACCCAGCACTAGTAGTCAATATATAGGTACTATGAAACGAATTGAGGCCTTGTTAGAGGGCTTAGGTGACCATAATCGTTCTAAAGCGGAAAAACGTATTGTGGCCTATTTGTGCAAATGCCAATTGAAATCATTAAATAACGAAGATGTGGACGATATTGACATTTAAGTGGAATAAAATAAATAAGCAATGTTTTAAGGTAAAAACAACTAATAACATCAATTTCATTAAAAACAACAATTAGTATTTGTTTTCAATAAGTTTTAAGATATATTTGCCTTTTACAAATACTTATACATAGTTTGAAAGGAGGATGTATATCAAATATGAATAAATACAACTAGGCCTCTATCGGGTCTGTTGTGCGTTCCTTTTCCAGTGCTTCAGGTGGGAATCGAACCCAGGACCTACGGAGGCCATACAATATTTATACATATACTTTAATTTCCATACGCTCTTTTAGGTTTTTTAGTATATTGCCCATAGTATTCAAAATAAATTTTGATATTTAATTTCCGCATGTACAAGATAATCGCTTTCCAAAACTTCCTTTTTTCTTCGTAATAGAATTAAATTTCGGTTTATGGACTGATATAAAACTGAAATATTATTTGAAGTAACCATATAAATCTAATAAACTCTATAGCGTTACATCCAAGAATAATGGACTCTTCTTTTCCATTGTACCTTCTGTTCGCCCACAACCTAATATTACCTATAATTACTCTAATATTACTTCTATCAGGGTCCTTAATGCTCATTTGCAATATCCAATATCAACTCAAAATATCATATTGATATTAACTTTTCACAGATCAGTTCTGACCGATTATGGTTCCAAAATTACGTAAACCAATCTGTAAACAAGTAACATTAGATATTGATATTAACTTTTCACAAATCAGTTCTGACCGATTATGGTTCCAAAATTACGTAAACCAATATGTAAATATGGAATTTATTTTGTTAAATTTTACCTGTGGATCTAACCTAACCTAGTCTGAAATGAATAAGTAAGTTACATTAGATCCGAAGAAATCCATCCAGGCCATTCTCGGGACTTTTGTTGCCCCTCCCATAGAGTATTCGAAGGGTATCGAACCCACGACCTCCGTACTAACAGACTACAACACTACCAACTAACCTAAAGTGATACAATATTGAAAATGAACAACGAACCAATTTAATCGATATATTGAATTCATTATTTTCATTTTTATTTAGTTGCAAAAAAAAATTTTAAGAAAAATTGCATGATGGTATCTCTGTAAATCGAATGGACGACAATATTGATGTGTATTTTGTTTACTTTCTCTCATTTTGTGCATTTTGTATGTAAAACTATTTTGAGTTTTTTGTGGTTAATATTATTGATTTTGTATTCCTCCTCCATCTCATTTTTGTTACTCCTCCTTTGCTAAAATTAACATATTGACAAAAAGCTTGTTAACCCAACTACAGCAACGGTCAATCGCAAATACATATTACTTGTAGTGAAAAAAGACGAAAATAATGCAAAATTCATTTAAATTTTTTTGTAAAATCCAGTAAAAATATGAAAAACAAACTTCTTTTAAGCCACTTCATACCTCCTAATCATACTCATACCCAAATAAACAAACATACATACATATGTATGTATGTACATATGTAGGTGCTTTTGTATATATCAAAAACAACAAACATCCTTGTTAAGTTGTTTTTTGCATAAACTGTAGAAATAATAAAAAGGAAAGCCCACTAAACAACACAACAACGGTAATAAATAGAGTTGACTTTATAACAGTAAAAACACTAAACGCGCCATACTAATACACAACTTACAAACAAATATATGAACATTGTACATACGTACAATGAATGTATGTATGAAGAAGAGAAACACACCACAAATTCATACATATTACAGACAAATAAATATACAGCCAAACAGCAGTAGCAATAGCAATAGGAAGAACAGCAGCAGAGGCAACAGCACCCTTTTTTACGAGTCACTAACAGTACAAGTGCGAGACATTAACACAAAATTATTGATTGATTTGAAACCTACCAAAAAATCAATAAATTGCAAAAAAGTAAAAATAAATTTACTTATACATTTGAAATTGCTCATAAAATTTAAAACAGTTTTTGCCATTAACTTAAACTTTGTAAAATATTTCGTTGTTTGTTATATTGTTAATAATTTGTTGTTAACTTTTAATTAAGCGCCAGTTTATTAATACATATTTTAAATTTAATTTTAATACACCAACTTTTTTTAACAGATGTCTATTATAATTTCTATTTAGGTTTGTTTTTTTATAGTAATAAATTAAATTCACCTTGTTTATTTTATAGTCAAAAAACTTTACCGTTAAAACTTATTTATAATTATTTTGTGATTTTTAAAATTGTTTTCTTTTATTTTAAATGTTAATTTTAAACTTTTTCTTGTTTCATCAGTGTTTTTACTGTGTGTATTAAAAGTTTAAACTTCGTTGTACGTGCGTGCGTGTTCTGTTCGACAGTCAATATAAAAATGTTTGAGAGTCCTTGCTGTTGTGTAGTTTCTTTCTTTAGTGGTTTATTATTTTATGTTTTTTGTTGTATTTCTGATAAGCAATTGCTCCTGTTCAAGTGCTCTGGGTTGATATGTATGTGGGGTATTTGTTTGTTTGCTGTAATAACATTAAATATATTTTGCGCGCTTTTGCTCTCTCGTCATGTGTCTCTCTGTTTATGTTTTTTTTTCGTATTTTGCTCTCATCAGTACGTCTGACAGAGAAAAAACGGACCAAAAACACCCATAAACAAAACTCATTCACAATTTCATCATTACAAATTCATTGTTTAATGTTTTCTTTTATTATTTTTACTTACATGTACATACATGTGTATGTAAGTATGTATGATGAAAGGTGTTTGTAGTTGCATTAAGTTTGTATTAAAAAATGTCTGTTGCTTTGTATATTTCTTTTCAAATGATTTGTTTGTTGTTTTATCGATTAAAGGTGCGACAAAATGTTATTCCCTTTATAAATGGTTTCTTTGTTTAAACTAAATCCGTTCAGAATTGTTGTCATTGTTTTATTTATTAAAAAATAACTGCTATTTTATTTCCGAATGTTTTTATATATTACCGTTGCATATAAAATCCGTGTTGAATTTTATATGATTGATTTGGCAACCTTGTTTATTAAAATTATGTGCGAAATAGAGAAAGCAATACAGTTGTTTTTGTTGTCTCCCTGCAGTAATAGCAAAATACAGTTTATTATTATTCATACGCTCAGTTGTCCGCCTAATAATTGATTTGTTTATTGATCCATCTACACAGTGGGTGGAATTAAAAAGTAATGTATCTAAATTCAGCACAAATAGGAAAGGTGTATAGTAAATTTTATGCTTTTAATTTAGTTGTTATCATTTTATAGTTGGCGGCATATGCAATGCAAAATAGGGTACTTGAAATATGTGTATACCCAAATCAAAATTGTTTTGCCCGCCAGGAATAGAATTCTGATCAGCGTTCATTTGTGATATTATGTGTGTTTTATTATCGGAACATTAGTTGCTTATGAAATTGTAAGGATATTATAGTAATAAAATTAAAAGAATTTAATTACATTGATAAAATTTAATTTATCAAAATCTAATAAAATTTATCGCTTATATTATACAAAAAATATTTGTATCTAATCAACTTCTCAGCTATTCATTTATTGCTTCATTATCTTTTACTAGCTTAGCCGGTTTAACCGAATCATCTTCATCCTCATCATTGGCTTTTCTTTTTTCAGTCGGTGAGGTCTTTTCTCTTTGGTCGGCCTCCTTTATCTGTTCATTATTTCCATCATTATTTACAATAATCTGTTGTGTTTCTTCCTCATCAGCTGTTGACTCTTTTAAGGCTGCCTGCTGTAGTATAGTTTGAGCCGCTGCGGAGGTATCACGTTTCAACAATTCTCTTAACATCATTGTAGCATACGCTGCTGGTGGCAAACAGAAATCTAACAATAAAGCTTCGTATTTGCCTTCATTTCCCCCTACTTTGAAATCTTCAACTTTTTTGCCCTTTAACAATTCAAAATCTGATAAAATTAAAGTTTCCTCTGGTGTTGCATATGTTCTAAATTCCCAAGACATATCTTTAGGTTTGATAACCAGTTTACGATAAGCCCCTGCCATGGCAAAGGTTTTTACATTGTGTTTTAATTTTTCCGAAGAAAGCTCATATTTTTCCAATTCCTCTTTGTACCAAGTACCTACCACATTTTCAGGATAAGTGATATCGTGGCCAGGTAAGGGTAATACTACATCATAAATGCTATAATTACCGCTGGATATATCTTCTTCAGTTAAGGGTTTAACTTTGCGTTTGAAGACAGATTCAGAATTTTCTGCAGTTAACGCTGAAGATGCTTCACTTTCAGTTTCGGTGGGGTTTTCTTCGCTGTCTTCGTCTGGTTCGGGCAATTCAGTTGCTTCCATGTCTACATCTAAATCATCTTTGTTGCGATAAACCAAATCTCCCGGCATTAGGGTTAGACCAAATTCCTTGATACGTCTTGAAGCCATATTGTTAAAGATTAAACTTTGAAAAGCATGAGGATATAAAAGTAACATATTGCGTGGTATCTAAATTTTTAAAAAATGAAAATATTAAAGAAACATTTTTGTATTTCACTACCCTTTGAAAACTTACTTTTCTTAAAGCTCCTGCATAATCATTTTCTCCATACTGGGACAAACCATCTAATAGTTTCTTTTCTATAAAACGATCACTACGGAATTGTGCCGCTGCTGCTCTAGAATCACGATTTTTCCACCACATTTCACGTATACTTTTAAGGAAAGGTATATCATTTTCACGTGGTTTCAAAATTAACTCACAGGCCTTAAAAATGTTTAAATATTTATATTTATATTTTTTTTTTTAAATAAATTACAATATGTTACCGTTTTATAATCAGCCTTTAATAAAGCTACACCAATCTCATGGGTGGGTATGGTGGAACAGTTGCCAAATCTTTGCAAACCAAAATAATTAATAAAACCCTGCTCTTTAACATTCTTTAATGATGTTTCTATGTGCTGCTTTTCACCGTTCAAGTGTCTTAGGGCAATACGAAAACGATTTCCTTTTAAATCACCCAATTTTAAAACATTTTTGCTAAATTCAAAATTGCCAATTTTAACGCCATTTAAAAATTTCACTGTGCCCACAATTTGCCGGGGTGTACGCTTTTTAATGCAAAACTTTTGTGTAGTTTTAGCTCTTCTGTCTTTGGTGCCACAATAGTTGACTTGTGATGGTCTTAATCTGTATTGAGTAAGAGAAAAAGAAACATTTTTAATGAAGTAATGTTCGCAAAAGATTTAAGAATTTATATTTACTTTAGTTTATTGGCAATTGATGACGCCACCTCACTTGTATCCAGATTCTCTTTGTGCACCAAAAAGTGTACATATTCCTCGGGAAAGGTCCATTTATTACGATCCCTTCCCTTGGATTTCATAACACGTATAAACTTTTTATCTGCATCCGTGCTCCCAGCTTGTTCCGCACCTACAGTAGAACTCACCAATTTGTTTTCATAAAGTTTTTTAATCACTTTGTGGATTTGGGTGCGTTGTTCCTTATCCAATTCCGTAACATCTATATAAATAGCAGAATCCTCTGGTTTCTTACTGTTATCATGTTTAGCATCTTTAAGATCGTTGATTTTTTGCCAAACTTCTTCATTGATGACATTTTTAAGTTCTTCCTTGGCTACATTTACTTCCTCAGCACTTAATTCTAATCACGAGGAATATAAATTTATAAAAAAATTTTAATAACTACTAATTTAAATAACTGTTTACCTTCTTCTTTTTGTTCCGGTATAGTTAAATCGCTTAACTGCAAAATTTGACCCCTTAAATCGATTTCATTGACATGGAAATCAGAGAAACGTGATTTTAAAATTCCCGTAAATCCCTCACCGACATTAATGTATTCCGTTATACCCACTTGATCCTCTCTCAAATTATCTTTAACAGTAAATACGGGCCTAGAAAAATAATAACAAATTAGTAGTTATCATCTTTTGGAATTGTTTACAATATGTTTTTACTTCTTTTTGTTGGCAAATTCCTCGTTGTTACGGTTCCGATTATTGAATGATCTTTTATGGTCCGTCTTGTGATAAGGTTTCCTTTGATGATTATTAAATTTTTTATTAAATTGTTTACCCATTTTGGAAAATTGTCTGTGATTTTAATAGAAATCTGTTAACAAGGAAAAAACGTGTTGAACACAACAAAATAAACAAGAGTACAGTGATGACAAAAAATTTAAATCGGGTAAATTTAGCCGGTTTTTTATATGTATACTTTCTGTAGAAAGTACTTCTACCCGCTTTTGATATCTCTAGTGATAATTTTATTACGTTGCCACTGTATTTTTTAAAATTTTAATATCTTTTTTATTTAATTTAATAAAAACTTTATAATTCGCAATATTAGATAGGGCACTGCTAACCGTTCAATATGTATATTGATCATAAAAATAATAAATTTAATAATTATTTTAATTAATATGTTATTAAATAAGACATTCATTATTAATAAATATATTACAGATGGCATTACCCTATCTATCACATTTCACAATATGGTTTTTTGGTGTTTTTATGAATATTCTAGCGATTTTTTATTTGAATTATCTGGCAGCGCTCCATTTACGTATTTTGTTTTTTTCTGTTTTGTCAAAACAATAAATTTGTTGGAAAAATCTTATCAAAAAGTGAAAAAAGGAAATTTTTTAAATTAATAATTATTAAAAATGGTTTATATACATTTTCCTTCTAATCTAACCGAAGAAGAACATATGCTTCAAGCTAAATATCAAAAACTTAAGAAAAAGGTAATTTTTACAAAACTCACACAAAAACAGGTCTAGAAAAGGTTATTTGTTTCAGAAAAAAGCTCTACAATTGATGAAAGCCCCCAAACAAGAACCGGAAAAGCCGACATTAAAACGTCCCACAGATGCTCGTGATGCTAGGGAGGTGGCACGCAAACTTATCAAAAGTGGCGCTATACCGGCAATACAAAAACAACAAACCAAACAAGATCAGACTTCATTTAAACGTCCCAAGGGTCAGGAGAGAAAACGACCAATACCAGAAACTTCAGTGGCCGCTTATCAGCCATTCTCTTCCACACAAAATGATGTGGCCCAAGAAACAATTATAAGTGAAATTATTAAAGAAGAACCACGTATGCAAAATTTATATCAACATTTTGCCACGGAACGTGATCGTGAGGAGCGCGGCTTAAATGATAAAAGTCCTTTGGATCCCAGTCAGGGAGATAAGCCACGGGCTGGTAATACAATATTTGTTTCGGGTAATAAAGTAACGGAGGACTACTTAAAGAAGACTTTCAATGATTACGGCACTATTGTCAATGTTTCCATGGAAATTGAAAAGGGGTAAGTAGACGATAACTTAATTCTGAAGAATAGAATTACAATTATTTTTCATTTTATAGACGTGGTTTTGTTACTTTTGCTAAACCCGAATCAGCCGATAGAGCTATAGCCGAAATGCATGGCAAAAATGTAAATGGCATTAGTCTTCAGGTGCAGTTGGCTCGACGTCAACCACAAATTGAACCAATAAATGATGCTTCATCCTCAGCTGTATGGTCTTCTATAGGTAAGATGATTATTTGATAAAATGATTTAAGTTTTATAATCCTATTTTTTATTATTTCAGCTGCCAGTAAATCTCAAAAAGGCAGCCACAAAGACAGACGTGAAATGGTTCAATACGATGAAGACTTTTTACTATAATGAAATATATCTTTAGTCCGTAGCGTTCATTTAATCTAAAAATCTCATAATCATTTTACAACATAACATTCATCATCAATTCAAGATTAATATTATCCAACAATTCAAGATTAATAATGAAAATTGTTTTAAGAAAGAACAAGGTAATGATTTTTTTATTTTTATTATTTAATTTTTATTTTTTGGATGCAAATTTACCAACCAATAATGAAACAAAGAACTGACATGGTGTAATTTTTGGGGGTTTGTTTCGATGTATTTTTCACAAAATCTCAAAACAACGTACATATGTAGGTAATGGAACAGTTTAATCGAAACGAATTTATTACAAAAAATTTCTTAACAAATAAAAATAAAAAAGTAATATAATCATTATCATGGTTGGACATGTGGACTCTCCACGTAAAGATCTATACACTCTAACAGGTTCATCGCTGTGTAATTAACTTAAATTTATACTACGACGCCATCTATCTATCTATAAATTAGGCAATAGTTCATTTGGAGAAAATCTAAATTTTTGTTATTTTCAAAAATACTTACTCTCTCTTATTTATCTCATTAAAAACTACATTTAATAAAAATACTTTCGCCCATATTTTACATAATAAATACAATTTTTAAAATTTTATTTCCAATTTTTATTTTTTTAAGAAATACTAAAATTTCAATAACTACGGTTAATAATTTTTATTTGTTTTTCTTTAACTTTAACAAATAACAATAAATGAGGGCAACAGCTTTGTTTTGAAATTGAAGAAAAAAAATTATATTTTGAAAATTATAAATAAATAAAAAAGACAACATTGATGAGAAAAGAAATAAAATAATAAAAATTTACCCTTAAATAAGTGAAAAAATAATAAAATATAATAATAATTTAAAGTAATAATAATAACAATATGTATTAATAATATTAGATTAGATAATAGATAATAATGTGTTGTAACATAAAAATATTAGAAAAATTATGAACTCGTTGCCACAAGTAGCAAGTAAATGTTACATGTCGTAAAAAATTATCATTATTATTTTTATTTTGTTTGTTTCTGGTAGAAAAATCTGTTGATTGTAAAAAAATATTTTGTTTTTATTTTTACGTAAATGTCGTTAATCTTGGTGTTTTTATGCAATTGAAAGTGAGTTTTTTGGTAGATTAGTTTATAAAATTGTTGCTGATTATGACGATTCTATCTGTTGGATTCGGTATTCTGTTTAAGGTTGTAGTAAAAAAAGAAGAGAGTAATTAGTGTACAAGTCTATGATCTATTCACACTCCGTTAAAAGGCCACATTAATTGTATCAAAATAATGGTTGGATTTTTTTTTTTTTTTGTTTACCACTATGGGAAATCCAGAATTGTGTCATTGTCTTAATTACATTGGATAAACGTAAGACTAACGTCCCTCCTGCCCTGGTGGATTAAAATAATCCCAATGATGGGTGTGGACACTACGACCGGTCATTAAGTACAATAAAACAAAAAATGTTATAACTATGAAGAGAACAACCAAAGCTGGCACTTGTCTATTGCGAATATCGGTGGGTTCTACTTCGACTCCTTCTTTGGGTTCTTTGCCACGAATGAAGTCCGTCAGTTGGTTGATGATTTTGCATAGGGAGAGACTGCAGGCTGTAATGAATTTGCTTCCGGCTTTGGTAACACTTTGGCTGTCATCGGAGGAAGGTGTGCGTGTGCTGCGGGTGCGTCGACGGTGATGAACTTTTTCTTCATCTTCACTCCGCCTGTGATGGCGGCGATGACGTTGAGGCGGTCTTACATCCAAGTTGGTGTCTTCAGCTGCTGCGGCAGCTGCCCTATGTAGATTGTAGAAGGCCAAGGGTGCCAGAGATTGTAAATATTCAGCTGTGGGAAAGACTGTAGAAGGCAGAGCTGTCACTGTTGCAGTATCCAATGGAGTCGTTTGATCTGTTTGTGTTTGTTCATCGGCATTGGGAACGGTTGTTGTAGGTTGTGGTATTTGATCCCGTAAACGTGGTGGTTTCGGGGGAGGAACAATATCTCTAGCAGGACTCGAGCTTAAGTGTTCACTACTGTGTTGAGGACTAGTTTGTGTTTCGGTGGTTAAATGTTGTGAACGCTCTTTCTGACGCACTTGTTCGACAATATTTTCAATCAGGCCTGGAGGCAATTCAATATTTTGTACCACCAAGTTGCCAGATTTACACTCTAGTTCATCGGAACTAATTTGCTGACCATGTAGTTGTGAAACCATTATTTGACCCGCTTGTAAAGCATGTACTCGTAGACGTTCAACTTCTAAATCACCTAAACGAGCTGGTAATTGATGTTCTGTTGGTAATTCAGCCTTAACAATGGTTTGCATCGGTGCCAAATCTTTAGATGACTCAACAGATTGCTCTGCTTTAGGGGAGGGAATTGGTAAGGGCGTTGGTTCTTCTTGGGTGGGGAATACTTCTTGCTTTTTAACAGAACTCTCAGTTGAAGTAATTTGTTTAACTTCTACTGGTGGTTCTTCAAGTGCTGGATGTGGTGGTGATTGTTCTATGGCAGTGGTGGATTTTCTACGTGGTGGTGGTTGTGGAGGTTCGGCTTCGGGCACTTCTACTTCGGATATGGTTAGTTCTTCTTCTTCTTTAATTTCACTTAAAATGCTTTCGTCTCTAAATTCACCATCCGAAAGTAGTTCATCCAAATCGGAACGGGGTTCTTCTTCTCTATCACTTGGCTCGATTTCTCTATCGCTAACTTTAATTTCCTCCCGAGAAACAGAAGGTGAGGGTTCTTGAGATGTGGTTTGAGTTTCCATCAATTCACGACCTATAGCATCCAATTCATCTCTATATCTTTGCAAAGTCCTCTCAACTTCTTCGTCGGTTTGTTGCGTTTCTGGATCCGATGTTAAAACTCCCAAGGCTTCATCTAATTCAGTAGAACTGGGAGCATAAGAAGCTTCACTTACTGCTAAATTACGATAATCTTCCTTGGTATCAGACACACTATGCTGAGAACTATCGGTTAAAAGACCTTCCCTGCGCAATTCTTCTTCTTCTAATTCCAAATCATCGATGGGTCTAACTACCAGAGAAGCTTCAACTACTTCGGTATTATGTTTTTGTATGGGTGTTGAGGACTGACGTTCCACTAGTATGGCGGAGGGTGTTTGAGGTCTACTTAATGATTTGGATCTATCAGCCTGCGAAGAGGCTCTAGATCTCTCTGAAAGACTTCTTTGATTGGCATCTCTGAAACGTTGTAAACCCTTGGCCAACTGCTCACTATCTATAACTTGATGATTGACATTGAGTTCCTTTTCCAGTTCCTCTTGCAGCAGTTCTTCAACTGTTTTGGTTGAACGTACTCGGGGCTCAATTACCTTCATATCATCGGTTATTTCGAATTCTTCACATACGAAATCATCGGGCAGAGGATCCGTTTGAGTGCAGGCCTCAACTTCTTCCACATGTATATCTGACTCGTCCGTCTTGTCGAAATTGCCATCAACAACATCTCCACTATCATATGAACGATAGTCTTGTAATGCCTCTGATCCCTTACTGGCCGATCGTTGACGTTTTTCTCTGGGCGGTCTGGGTGGTGGTGGTAAAGGACGATATTTCATTTTGTTTATAACTTCACCTGATTGTAGGTTACGCTCAATTACACCGGGTTCTTCATAATCGTCTTCATAACTAAAATAATTAATTGAAAATTATATATTCATAATAATTTCATTAAAAACATATACACATATGACTTTCACCCGCTTTGAATTCTACAAATTTTAAATTTTATTTTGAGTGTAGAATCCCCCGCAAGTGTAAACCATAAAATATATTCAAATCGTAACTCAATACATGCCAAATTTTTAACGAAAAAACATTAAATTATAAAATCATACCAAAAATTAAAAAAAGCTTCAATTAAAAATAATAATCGGTGATCATGTTTATTGCTGTCTTTTGTATTATGTGAATAAGTTAAAAAATATTTTATTAAAAATTAAAATAAATCAAAAACAATAATATTGTGTGTTAAATTAGCAATGAAATAACAATTAAATGCCTACGAAACTTACAATAAAAACATCATTAACCAAATATTTCATTAAATAAAATTTGGATCAGTAGAATAGGTTGCAATATAAATTATTAGAAATGTTTCCTTCTTTTTTTTTGCAATCGATCGTCGACCAAAATTTATTTCCATTGATTTCTGAAATTTTATAGTCAGTAGTTTAAATTATTTGTCAGTCTCTCTCATGTATCCAAATTTCATTGAATCTTGTAAGAATTAAATATTTGTATTGCACAATTCCCCAGCCTTTGTGTTGTTGTGTTTTGTTTTGTTAAATACTGTGAACCATACTAACAAATGTGGTGAATATGAATTTAAACCAACCAATAAGATACCCAAATTGACCAACTGACTGATTGATTGATTGTATGTAAAAATGTGTCTTTGATGATTTTAAAGAGAAAAAATTATTGTCACTAACGAAAAAATATTACCAGTTGTTAAAACAAATTAATTAAGCGAAATCAAATAAATTAAACGAAATTAAAACAATTAATTTGCGGCTTGTGTTAAAAACAAATGCGTTAGCAGCTCCTCAGGCGGTAAATATCTTACTTTGGTTGAGCATCTAAACTTAGGGCAGATTTACGTCCTGATACCATTACCACATCGGAGACTGGCGTGTAACCTCTTGGAGGTGGTGGTCTTTCTGGTGGTGGTGTGCTTCTCTTAGTTCTCATATTTGGCATTGTGGCAAAACGTTCACCAGGAGAACGTGCAAATTTCTTTCGTCTAGCTGGTGGTGTTGGTTTTGGTATTGCTTCCTTGCGTACGACAGCATATCTAAAAATAATAGCGATTACTATAATTGATCATAATTGAATTTCTTACTCTCAATTACCCATCATTTTCCATCATATCAATGACGAATTTTTCAGTTTCCTGGACATCTTCATTTTGTTCGAATGAAATGGCACCTCGAGAATGACGCTCGTCTAAATCATAATTCGATACAGATTTACGTGTTGATCCATTGTCAGAGTATTTTTCCGGTGTGGCAAGTGGTACATGATGATACTCATGTTCAGTGCGATAAACAATTACCTATAAGATATTTTAAAAATTTAATACACGATTCAACAACAACATTCAAACATTAAACTTACATCTTCCGTTGGCTGCAAAAAGCTATTCGACACCGAGCGTCCTCCAAAACCATTAATATAGGAGTCTTTGTCCATTGATGTATCGCGACGTCTCTTCTGGCGTCTGGGCGGTAGTGGTTGATCATGCTGTTGTGGTATATTCTCCTTTTCAGACATATTCAAATCATTCCAGGCACCATGTTCATCCCTAAGCATGGGTGATGGATCACGCAAATATTCTTCGTCCATGTATTTTCTGCTATCGACATCTTGGCTTTCCATGGAATATTTGCTACGACTTCTTCCCTTGCGCATCGGGCGTCTGGGTGCTCCAAAGTAATCACTGCCATTGTGCGACATTGATAGATCATCGCCATAATCGCTTCTTTGGCCATCAAAGTCTTGTGATACATTATCGGGTGCAAATGTTTTGTGAAGTCTACGTGGTTTTGGTGGTGGTACATCATAGTCACCATAAGCACTAGTTTGTCCCACATGTTCCAAAGAATTAATGGGCTTATCGTAGTCATCTCTGAAGGCATTTCTTATATATTGATTGATTTCAATGTTGTCTTGGGAAATGCCACGCTTACGCAAAAAGAATTCGTCATCACCAATTTCCTCTAGCACAGCTTTTTTGCCGGAACTAGCTGTTGATTGAGTTTCCTGTGTACCCATATCATCAGATTGATATTTTAGGTAACTGGCTTCTGCTTCCCTTTCTGCCTTGCGGAGCAAGGTGTTTTTCTGTATATCTTTTTCGGTCCAGCCAACGGCTTCTTTGCTATCTTCAGATCTTACATCAGAATCTTGGTGGGTAATTGGTCGACGTCTGAATTCACCCGAACGTAAATTCGATATTTCATGTATGGCACGATTCTCTTCATCGAATTCGGCAAATTGTTTGTTGTCTGTAACTCCTCCCAATATGCCTAAATTTCTTTCTTCACTGACAGCGTCTTCAAGATCCTCTCTCATGCGTCGCTCTAAGGAAGATTCGCGGTCGAAACTTTCCTGTTCGCTACCATAACGTCGATAACGAGAACCTTCACTGTCATTATAACTAACGTCTGAGAACTTGTCAGCCCAACGAGAACGCACTGGACCGGGACCACGATCTCCTTGTGGAGTGCTGGAAGACTCTAATGAGGGTTGTGTTTCTGAACTTGGTATAACACTCGTAGCTTCTGTAGCAGTTCCGGTGCCAAATGAAGATTCCACTTCGACCGTTTTCTTTTTACGTAATGCTCTTGGATATGTACCAAAGTTGAATTCAAAAAGTTTCTTATGTGTAGCTGGAGCTTCAGTTCCTTTTTGTCCAGTTTCCGTCACTTCCGCTTCCAATTCCTCATCAACATGGGCAGCATCTGATTCCTTGAGAGATTTACTTCTTCTCAACTTGATATTAGTCATTTTCTCGGGCAATTTAAATTTACTCATATCGGGCTTACTAAATTTAGTAAATTCGGGACGTTTGAAATCTCTAAATTTCGACATATCAGGACGTTTCATCTCGGGCATTTTTAGTTTCGAAAACTCAGGAGCCTTAAACTTCTTACGCTCCTTAGCTTTAGGACTACCTGAAGGTATTTTCTTTGGTGCCGGTTTTAGTTTTGTTTTGAGTTTTCCAGCTTGGTTTTTAAAACCAGCTTGCATTCGTCTAGTTTTATCTTGGGCAGTTGCCATAAAACCTTTCTTTTCCGCCTTTGGAAGTTGATCATCGTCTATGGGAACATCTTCAGTTTCCATTGCCTCAACATCAATTTCCATTTGAGGTGTTTTCTGTGTTGTCTGCGACTGGGTTTGTGCTGATGAAAAGTATCGATCTTCCAGATCCTTCTGCATATCCTCTGCCTGTTTCATGGTATCAACTTCACTAGTTGTCGTTTGAATTTCATTTGGAGATACTTCCTTAATATCAGAAGATTTCTCTTCTGTCGAAGGTGTTCCAATGGGTTCGTATTCATGTTCGCTACAACGAAATTTAGAAAATTATAACTCTTTGAATCATAACGATTCATGGTTTCGCATTTTCGATTTAAATTAAGTTTGTTATGTGAAAATGTGTGAATTTTCCATTGAAATCGAAATTGCGAAACAGTAAGCAGAGTAAATAAAAGTGAAATAATTAAACAAAAAGTGATTGTTGTATGTATGCTTTAGATTTGTATGTTAATGTGTGTGGATTGTTTAGATTATGAGTTTAAGAATGTTGGCTAGAATTAAAGCTATTTCGGCTGATATTCTACAATAGTTAAGCTAGGAAGAATAAAGACGACAGGGTGACAATATACATATATACATACATTTTAATACATATAGTTCCTAATGTAATAATGTTGGATATTTTGGGTTTGGGGGTATACAATCTTACTCTTTACTATCAATTTAATTATTTCTTGAATTGTACAAATACCTAAATATGTCAGTGCTTTTAGTGTTCATTTAAATTAAACTTAATCTTACCGCGAGAAATATGTTCTCTCCAGCATTTCTTGTTTAGCTTGACTTTTTGGCATAGTAGCACTTTCAAATTGACTTAAACGCGACTTACGTTCGTCAAAATTAAAACTAACTGTTTTCGTCATACGAGCCATTGATATATTGTCTTGTGAACCTCCTAGCCGATGTCGATCGGTTGATTGAGTTCGTCCATCGAAAAAATCGCCCGTTTGATCTTTGTATGGCAATAAAGGGCGCTGTTCAGATGGTGATCTCATACCATGTACTGGCATACGCCTATCAATTGATGAACTACGATTTATACTTCCACTACTGTCCATCATAATAGCCGCAGAGAATAATGGCTTGCCGTGCAACTCAGGATGATGATGTATTGATGGTTCTTTGCTCCAACCCCTCATTTCTAAACCACGATCTTGACTTGACAACTGAGATTGGCTAGTACGTTGGTCAGCCAAAAATTGTGAACTACCTTCGGCAGAACGTCCTATTATAACTGGAACGAAGGCTTCTCCAATGTTCATGGATACCCGATCGGGTTCAGAAAAATCTTCACGACTACTGAATGATTTTGGTACAGAAGGTGTTTTACTGAGAGAGGGTGGTTGTTGAGGAGGAGGTTGCTTTTGTTTAGCTGGCTTGGCCATGTATTGATCCATTTCATCGACTTTAAGTGAAAATGTTTCCACTACTTTAATGGACATAGGCTCCGCCTGTGATTTATTTGTGACGGCTGCATTTGTTCCAGAAACTACTGAAATTGGAGTAGGTTTTTCCTTGGAAAACATTGACATAAATTTGCTGGAAGTAGGTTTTGCTGGCGAAGGCGATTTTTCTCGCATAGGTGATTTTTCTTTGGAAAACATTGATGAAAACTTAGAACCGTTTGCAGCCGGTACTGGTGAGGGTGATTTTTCACGCATTGGAGATTTTTCTTTGGAAAACATTGACGATAATTTCGAAGCTCTTGAAGGTGGAGCTGGAGAAGGTGATTTTTCACGCATTGGAGATTTTTCTCTAACATTCATAACTTCATCCATTTCGTCTTTGGGTTTTGCAGAGAAAAACGATTTAAATTTTGTTGTGTAAGAGGTTTTCGATGTGTCTTCCATATTATTTATATTTGGAGCACTTTTTTTAGTTCTTGTGAGGGATGACTGTCTTTCAGGTGAATGGCCACGTTTGAGTTGTTGATAATTTGTATCAGGCAATTGAAGGTTATCCATAGAAAGATGTCCCATTTGCCTTCCAGGGGATCTCCCACGATTGTTAGCTTGTTGGTTGGTAGCATTACTGTTGTCGCTTAAATATCTGGATGGTGATGCTGAACGACTTCTGCCTTGTCTTTCTTGTCTGGCAAGAGAATCCAAATATCTTGTCGGAGACTTTGCTCTACTTCTAGCTTTTTCTTCCTCTTCTTGGACCAGTTTATCAATGTCCACCATTTTCACTTCTGTATTAATATCAATACGAATTTGTTCTTCTAAATTTAAAGGTTCAACAGGAACTTCAGTTACTAACGGAGGACTTAAGCGCTCTATTTGAATGTTGTCTCTTATGTCAACCAAATTGCGAGAGGATTGAATGGCTTCCAATTCCGCGACTGTTTGCTGAAGAGGATCCATAGGTTTTTCCGTTGCAGTCAAATTCGCATTTAAAGGTTCAACTATAGTAGATGCATCTGGTGAGGTTTTATATTTGGACATGTCGATAGGACGATTTTGAGGTAATATAACCCCAGTTGATTGGTATGAAATAAGATTGTCTCTACTTGCATCAGGTCTCATATAATCTACGGACATGGGTGGTTTGGCATTACGAAAATCAACACCTTCAGTTGGTGATGATGATACCATTGGAGTTAATTCTCTAGCAGTATGATCTATAGTGCTTGGTTGTGCACCTTGTGGAATTAGTTGATCAACTGTTGTAGTGCCATCTCCTGTTGTCTTATATTTAGACATATCAATAGGACGATTTTGTGGCAATATTTCTGCATCTCCTGCAAAATACCCCATATTCTCTTTATTGTCATCGGGTCTCATGTAATCTATAGTAGTGGGTGGTTTTGCCTTTCCATAACCAAAACCTCCAGGTGGTGACATTGATCGCATAGGTGTAAAATCGCGTGAATAAGATCTTTGTCGATCAGCCATTGCTTGTAGAGAAGGAGATCTAAAATCACGAGTAAATGAAGGAGGTTTATCTGATGTTTGAGGCAATGGTGTAGGAGTGATGACATTAATTTGGGGAGAAAATGTTGAAAGATCCATATTAGATGATCTTCGACTGCCACTTACTGAACGCTGCTCACGGCGACCATATGGGTGACGTGGAGGGGCAATATTAATATCAGCCACATATAAATCTTGTTTGGATGGAGAACGTGATATGCGCCTTAGAGATCTAACACTGTGCATGGAAAGAGTTTCAGGATCTTTAGCTAGTCTATCTACTGAGGTGAAACGTTGCCTTTGCATACCCGGCATACTATGAGGATCGTCATCGGAAATGCTACGCACTACTAAACCTCTAGTTCGCGCTGTCTCTTCTAGTTCTGGATATTTCTCTACAAACGATATATCAACAGAAGCAGAAGCTTGATCCCAAGATCTATGTTTACCTACACTTCGCATTGATAAACGTTCCGGTTCTGGTTGTGTGATGCGATCTCCCGCCATTAGCCTACGATCTGACATCGGCTGAAAAGGTATTGTTGGTGAATGAACATTTCTATCCAGCATGACACCACCATCGTCCGGTAAAAATTGTGGACATTGCTCGTCATGATGAAAGTCTAATTTGGAGGTTGGTCTTGAGTCCACTGGATTAATGCGTTCTGGAAGCAATGAATCGCATTGAAAATATTGACAGGCACAACGTACATCTAAAGTCACCCCACTTGAACTTTCATTACGCGACACAAAATGTTTTTTTTCGAGTGGCAAAGCACCCACTGATGCCGATCTTCTTGTACTCATAATGAAAACGAAATAAAAAGCTTAAAAAGCTCTATCGCCGTTCTCTTCGCTTTATGTGTGTAAAAAAGAAGAAACGTTGAAAATTTTAATATTGTCGTTTGGATTTTGCAAAAAATATTATTTTTTTTTATTATTTATTTTTTGTTCCGTCTACATATAATATTTGTATTATTTATATTCGTTAGTTTTTGCGTTGGTTAGGTTGGTTGGTTGGTTCGTTGCTGTTTGTCGCTTGTGTTTTCTTCTTATTGAGGCTATTTTTATAAATTTTCGTCGTATTTGCTCCAAGGGTGAACATTAATTTTATATCTGTTTTTAAAATATTTTCTTTTTTCTTTAAATTTTATAAGATAAAGCATTTAAACACACAACTATTTGTCATTTTCTATGTTAACGGTTTGTTTTTCTTTTTTTTTCTAAAATTTTTATTTTTTCCCCGTTACACTTTATCTATTATTAGCTGAATTAGCTGATTATGGAAAATTTGATTCATAATTTCGAAAATTGAAAATAAATTTTATATTCAACCGTTTATGCCCATTTTAATCGCTGCAAATATCGGCCAGGACTGAAAGCTTTTTTCGCAAAATCAAAAAATTCAGCAACATTAGAAAAATCAAAAAGCACTTGAAATATTTCGTATTTTTGTCGTCGTTGCGACGTCCGTGTCTATCTATGAGTTATAATAAATAAGTATGTACGAATAACGATGTATGTTTGTATATTCTAGGTGTTTTCTCCTTAGATATGTATGTATTTTCTTGACAGATCCATTCTATTTTTCTATGTTTACATTATAACACATTTTTGTCACATTTATTTCACATCAATTCAATTCATTTCAACATCATCGTTATCATCATATTCATCATGATCAAAGCCATAAGCATTTGTTGAATGAATGTACATTGATATCTTATTTATTTATGTATTTTTACAAATAATTTACTTGTTAATTTTGGGATAAAAAAATATATTTTCATTTTCTTCTTTTGTTTTAAAATTTATGCCAAGTGACCAACCACCAGTTTAGATTTTATGCAAAATAAACATGTCTAAAAAGACATTAAGGTGTTGCACGTTGTTTGTTGTAATGAAATATTTTGTTAAAATTTCTTTTAATAATTCGAAATAGTATGATAAATTTTTTATGAGATTAATTTTAGTTTTATATAAATATACATATATTTTGAGTTAAGAGATTTGTTCCATTTTTAATGTTTCTTCTAATAGTTTTCTTTTAGAATACAAGATAATTTTTCTCTTATTTGCAAACACTGTCATGTTATTTGTAAAATGTTACAGATGGTTATTGCTTGATATTTTATAGCCATTGCAACAATTTACATTATATTGACACCTGATTGTCAATTACATACTAAATTTTATGAAATTCTTTACACCATTTCCAATTGCAAGTAATTGTACTTATGTAGTTTGCAAAATTATAAGCCGGATCAGTTTTTTTTTTTAATTTATTTTTTAAAAATATGTTTTAAAAATTTATATTTTCATTTAAATAGCCAAAATTTTTTGTAGTCTAGTCTATAGTCTAGTCTATAGTCTAGTCTATAGTCTAGTCTATAGTCTAGTCTATAGTCTAGTCTATAGTCTAGTCTATAGTCTAGTCTATAGTCTAGTCTATAGTCTAGTCTATAGTCTAGTCTATAGTCTAGTCTATAGTCTAGTCTATAGTCTAGTCTATAGTCTAGTCTATAGTCTAGTCTATAGTCTAGTCTATAGTCTAGTCTATAGTCTAGTCTATAGTCTAGTCTATAGTCTAGTCTAGTCTAGTCTATAGTCTAGTCTATAGTCTAGTCTATAGTCTAGTCTATAGTCTAGTCTATAGTCTAGTCTATAGTCTAGTCTATAGTCTAGTCTATAGTCTAGTCTATAGTCTAGTCTATAGTCTAGTCTATAGTCTAGTCTATAGTCTAGTCTATAGTCTAGTCTATAGTCTAGTCTATAGTCTAGTCTATAGTCTAGTCTATAGTCTAGTCTATAGTCTAGTCTATAGTCTAGTCTATAGTCTAGTCTATAGTCTAGTCTATAGTCTAGTCTATAGTCTAGTCTATAGTCTAGTCTATAGTCTAGTCTATAGTCTAGTCTATAGTCTAGTCTATAGTCTAGTCATATAGTCTAGTCTATAGTCTAGTCTATAGTCTAGTCTATAGTCTAGTCTATAGTCTAGTCTATAGTCTAGTCTATAGTCTAGTCTATAGTCTAGTCTATAGTCTAGTCTATAGTCTAGTCTATAGTCTAGTCTATAGTCTAGTCTATAGTCTAGTCTATAGTCTAGTCTATAGTCTAGTCTATAGTCTAGTCTATAGTCTAGTCTATAGTCTAGTCTATAGTCTAGTCTATAGTCTAGTCTATAGTCTAGTCTATAGTCTAGTCTATAGTCTAGTCTATAGTCTAGTCTATAGTCTAGTCTAGTCTAGTCTAGTCTAGTCTATAGTCTAGTCTATAGTCTAGTCAATAGTCTAGTCTATAGTCTAGTATAGTCTAGTCTATAGTCTAGTCTATAGTCTATTCTATAGTCTAGTCTATAATCTAGTCTATAGTCTAGTCTATAGTCTAGTCTATAGTCTAGTCTATTGTCTAGTCTATAGTCTAGTCTATAGTGTAGTCTATAGTGTAGTCTATAGTCTAGTCTATAGTCTAGTATATAGTCTAGTCTAGTCTTTGGTAAATTAAAAAAAATTACAGCTATTGATTAAATTTCACATTTTCTAGCAGATTTGGCATAAACCTTGATCTGACGATTTTCGTAACATCTATTTGACGGAAACTACTGAATTATTTTCGAAATAAAACGTTTAATAACTGATGAGAATCGGGTTTACTTCTTATTTAAAATTCTAGAACGGACATATTTTTATTGCACCTCAAGAAATCAGCGTTATTTTTGTTCGTTTGTTATATTACAAATATTTAGAGATCGATAATAATTTTTGGAAATAAAGAATGCAATTGGAAAGGGTGTAATTAAATAATATAGATATTAATAGACACATACAAAAATAGACATGAGACAAATGTTCTTCCCAGCATTGGATTGCTAGTATATTTCAATGGCCGATATTATTTTAGAGGGGACAATACACACATACATTCACACATATAAATATTTTCCGCAACTCTTGATGAAAACACCTAAAATGCAAAAAACCTTAAATAAAATTGCAGGAAAATCAAAAAATTGAGTTAAAAGAACAGAAACTATCAAAAAGTTATCAACATCACCGATCCAAACGAAGAATTCTGATTTAACACATTTTTGTTTTACCTGTAATTTTGTTTTAAATCTATTCAATGTTCTTGCATTTTAGTTAACATTACACGTAATAATATAGAGAGAGTACTCATGACCAATCACCAGAACGAAAGTGGTTTCAACCAAAATAAAAAAAGAAGAGAAGATATTGTCGTTTTTTCTTACCTCTGATTTCTACATGCTCAGCTTAAATGTCTTGTATTGGAACAAAGTTTTGATAGGAGGAAGTTTATCTATCTACTACAACAAGGTGTTAAACATATGTAGAAGGATAAGTTATAGCGGCTAGAGCCTGTGCTTTGTAAACGATTAGAAGTATTACGGATTATTTGCTTACGGTAGCGTAGTGTTAGTAACAATTTCTTGAGAAAGATGAAGAATGTGTATTTTCTGAAATAGTATAGGTATTATGTAGAGTGGTAGTAGTAAATAGTTTTTTTCTTATACATAAATGTTGTATTATTGAATATAATTGTACATATTTTGTTTATTTTATTAGATGTTGTGTTGTCAGAGTGAGAAGATTTTTTTGTGTTATTTAAAAATAAGAAAGAAAAAAATAAAATCAAATTTTGAACAAAAATATTTAAAAGCACATTTGTCTTGATTTCGTTTTGTTGTGCTTATTTAAATTTAGACCATGATGTACTTACTTGATGGTATTTTTCCATTTGGTAGCCTCCTTTGTGGCTTCCAATTGTTCGGCTGTCAATTCGATATCTTCACGATGCGGTTCTGCTTCATCTTCAACATGGGAAAATGTTACCTTCTTTTCTGAAGGTGCTGGTGAAGCTTCCTTTTTAAGTGAAGGTTTACGTTCATTTTTCAAATCCGATTCTTGATTGACAGTTAAATTAGCTTGTTGGGCAGAGGTATCGTCGAGCTCCTGATCGGTTTCTTCTTCGGTTACCGGCTGTAAATGTACCTTTGATCGATCCTCATCCGATGAAGCTGAATCAATGGATGATATAGGTGCTAAAAGTGTATTAGATTTACGTTCTGGTGTAGCACGATCGGTCAATGTAATAGGTTCTTCTTCACTGCTGCCCATGCGATCCAACGGTATGTTGTTGTTTGCAGGGGCAACTTCTTTAATGGCACTTGTATCCTGGGTGGCCAATGATTGTTTTATAGCATCAACAGAGGTAGCATCCAAAATGAATTTGAGTTCCTCAGCTGCTGCGACCGCTTCGTCGGGTTGATCGATTTCTTCATACACATGTTCTCTACGCAAACGTGGTGCTTTTTTGGGTGGTATAGCTGCAGCATCCACTTCCTCGGCCTTCTTGTAGGTTACTTCTTCATCGACTTGTTCGTTTATTTCTGTTTGTGCTGCCTTAATGTCACTGATTTCAATAATCTCCTCCGGTTTTACTATGCTGCTTGTTGTATTCCCTTCATTGTCATACCTGTCGTCATCTCTACGCTTGCGACTGGGCGACTCGTCTAATTGAACAATTTCTAAAACATCATCGGAATCTTGTTTTTCAATAAAATGCGGTATATCACTTCTCTGCGACTTTGGCGAATTCTTAAGTTTTAATATTTTGGGTTCTTCATTAAGTACAATTTGCTCATCTTTACCTAAGTGAATACGCTTAATATTAAGACGTTTCTTTTGGCGATCAGCCATACTTTTGAGTTTTTTCATGATGGGGAAACAACGTGGACTCTTCGAGTGGACGTAAATGGGTTCGTCTTCCTTTTTGACTTCACCTTTTAGTTCTTCTACTTGCTTCTGTTGTTCTAATTTACCGTTTGAACCTTGAGGCACTTGTTCTAGACTGAGTTGCAAACTTGTATTCGTAAATGAATCGGGCAGTGACTGGGCGTCGTCGTGTTGTCTAGCTCCGTAACGTCGACGTCTAAACAATCTTCGAACTTTACTAAAACGACCAGATTTCTTTGGCTGTTTTCCGGTGGCCAGCACAGAGTCTGAAGCAAATGAAAAGCTTTCACTGTGCAAACTGTGATTTTCTAAATCTTCCGTTTGATGATTTGGCAAATGTTCCGAGTTGGGTTCGTCTTCTTCTTCGGATAACTCTTGAATGTAACGTTCTGTTTCTTGTATGGAGACGTGATCGTCAATTCGTACTTTTTTATTTGATTTTGGTGATTCAGAAGTGAAACGAATTTCTTGTGACTTTCTTAGCATCAACACAATTTCGGGCTGCTCATCTGGTCCAAGGGGACGTTTATAGAGATGTGTCCAAGGATAACCACCCTAAAAAGAAAATTGAACTGTTTAAACTTTGTTTGGTTTTTATAAAACATTTTTACTTACTCTTTCTTTGGCTCGCCTAAGATCTTCCCAGCGATATGTTTGTAATGGCACTGGTGGCTTATCCGTGCTGCTTTGTACTAAATACTTCTTAAGCGATTGATAATATTCTCGTTTGCAATCCAAAGCTAATTGCTCCGCATCACCCACGACAGTTTCATGCGCTTCGAGCGGCGGTAAGGATTCAATAAACAATTTACGTTCCTCTTCCTCTGAAGCTGTCTTAGACAGGGGTACAGTAACAACTTTCAGACTAGGATGTTTGTCAACTGGCAATTCCAATTTTTCTGAATTTACTGCTTGCGAGCTCTCAGCAGACTCTTCTAATTTTGTCTGTGAATCTAAAATACTATTGACTTCCGATAGTTGTTTGTCTACTACCTCCGATAATTTTTCATCGGTAGTACTTCCATTAACGTCAACAGAATTTACGTTTGAAATAGGCAAATCTTCAGTTGTTGACTGTGACTTGTTTTCGAGATTCTCGGTAGAAATAATGTTTTCTTTAACAGTTTTAACTTCTTCATATGAGGACTTATCTTCCGTAAGCTCTTCAGATTTTTCTTTCTTTTCGTCTACTTGAGCCGCATTAACGTCTTCACTTACGTTATCGGTGTTGGTTGTTTCTTCTGCTTCTGCTTCAGCTTCGTCTTCTTTTTTATATTTCGCAAAGTTAACTTGCGATGAAATCTTGTCCCAATTATTGGTTATTTCTTCTTCAATATCTTGTATTAACTTTTCTGCCACCTTTTCGATTTCCTCTTCGCTTATGCCAGACTCTCCATTGGATAAATCTGTAGGAACAATAATTTGAGCTACCTGCAAAGGTTCGTTAGTTTCGATGACTTTTTCTATCGGCTTCTTAGTTACAATTTCGGCCGGTTGGACTTCAATTACTGTGCGTACATTGTCATTTGTTTCGATCTTCGAACAACCAACCTGCAGTTCATCTTCTATGGGAGGTAACTCGTTAATACCAACACTCTCTTCATTGGGGAACAGTTCGTTATAGGTTTCTATTAGATGAGATTCGATGTCAAGTATATTATCCTGACTGGGGTTAATGTGAGTTTCGGGAAATAGAATTTCACCCGTTTGAGGGTCGAATTTACAGTCTTTGGTCGGCGATGGTGTGGGCGTAGGCGTGGGGGTTATTATAACTAAATGAGACTGAGACTGTGACTGTGTGTTATTAGAACTACTGACTAGGTTTATGTCGCTAGAATTATCATTGTCATTGACATCGTTGTGCGATTGTGGCTCCTCTGAGGATGGCTGCTTCAATAGTATTACTCGATTTGCCGGACTCTCTTTAATTTTATCTATTTTTTCTTCTGTGGCATTTAATGGACTAAGTACTTGAAGAATGGCGGGTTGTTCAATAGAGCTAACATCAGATCCGGGCAATGACACTATATTGTAAGGGAATTTGAGTGTAAAAAAAAAGAGAGTGAGATATTTAAATTATTTAAAGATTTAAATAATTAAATTAATGAAATACAAAATTCAATGAGAGAGGGGACGGACACGGTAGCAACAATTTAAAGTGATTATAAATGAGACTTATAAAAAATCCTTAAATTTAGTTTTGTATTAACAATAAGAAATTGCTCATTTAATGTATAATTGTAAAATTCACATTTATAATCACTTTCAGATGATTGTTCAATTAAAGACAAATACATAATGGCTGCAAATCGACTAAATACAACGACATACATAAGTATGTGTAAACGTTTAGATAAATGTATCTACGAGTATGCGATATGAAAGGATGTTTCTTAGTAACTTTGTCTCTTATTATGATTTTTGAGACATAATTACGTACTAGTTTCTATTTATTTGGTGCGTTTTTTCATCTTCAAATTACATAAGATACAACTTTCATGGGGTGACTACACTGAGAGAAATGTATGTATGGTAAAATCAACGACGAAATAAATGAGAGATAAACAAGATGTGAGGAAAGACAAAAACCAAATGTGTATGACGATTATACAAATTTATACAAAGTTTTTTTTTCGCCAAAAAGACAAACATTTTAATAAGAAAAGTAATTAGCACACGGTGCTGCAAAGAAAAATTAATAAATTAAATCATCAAGTAATGAAGTTTAGGTTGAAGAGAATTTCACATTTAACCTCGAAATTATGAGCTATGGTCAAAGCATTTCTGAATATTCTTTAACTCTAATTTGAAATTTGACCTGTTGTATATCATCTTGAAAGGTTAAAGTTCAGTGGCGATATCAGGTGGGAAAGTTAATTCTAAACCGTATACTCTTCCAGATGAGAGCTTTGCATCATATTGGTACCTTGCTTGGCCACTAAATTGCGTTAAACGGAAGGGAACTCGAGGAATGCGAAAAATATGGACGATAAAGTACCTATCCGACTACTTGGAATAATGGAATGGAAACATACATAATTGAACGAGCGTACGAATGTAGAGCATGTAGAGAAGACAATGAAAATCTGCAACACTTTCTTTGACATTGCCAGGCTTTCGTCGAAATTTGATCCAAATATCTTGGGAGTGATATTATTCGGGAACGAACCTTCATGAACACTGATTCAAAAATTCTTAGGAATTACATCCAGGAAACTAAATTTCTCGGCAATTCTTCGGATTTGTTGTAGTATACATCCTTCCATAAAACTAAGCTAATAGGATCAACCCATGTCCGTTCGAATGAAATATTCTGGAAATGTCTGTGAAGTAAAACGTTAATAATTCTAGTGAATTGTCCGCCTCTTTAATCTATAATTCGATAAAGTATAGATTTTTTTGGAAGTTTAACACATCTCTTCCATTGAAGTTATATATGAGCTCTTCCGAAGCGGTTATAATGTAATTCTGTTGAAAGTACTTCCATATTTTTTGGCAAGAATTTAAAATTTATATATTTTTAGTGCGAAGTCTTAACTATTCCATAGCATCAGATTGGCCTACTCTAAATCATTTAGATATTGTTTTATTTTCGGTATATCACTGTGTTATTGATCATAGTCTCAACTCTTGTATTTTCTAAAAAACAAGAAAACAACAAGGTCCAAATCTTAACGACATACCATGCATTCAAAAATCCATAGAATGATAATTACTAATATAAATAAGTATATTTATTCCATAAAATGTCTAAAATATTTTATAAACTCTTGCCATAGTGCAAGTAATAGACAAAAAAAAAAAAACAAGTCGAACAGAAAAAAAAATAACAAGCGTGAAATGTACATGAAATTGTAGTTGTTGTTGTTGTGTTTTGCGTCTATAAAACTGATGTTTATTTTAAATTTCTTCTCTAAATGAAAAACAAATTTTGAATTTAAGCCAAAATCTTTTAAACACTAAAGCAATTACGAAATTTTTATTTTATATATATATTTTTTTTTTTTTTTTTTGTTCTAAAATTTTAAAAATTTCTTTGCGGCGAGTACTTAATTTATGGACTATTTTTGTTAAAAAGAAAAATTGTTTAAAAAAATAACAATGACAAACACTGGCCACAAAATAATACATATTGAACAGCTAGCATAAGTTGCTGAGGGCTGTGTTGTTTACTTTGACCCTGTAACTAAAACATACTTGAATTTTGAATTATATTACAACAGATTTATGTTTTATGTTTCTTTTTGTTTGTGTTTTAAAATTTTCTAATATTTTTCACCTTGTATTTTATGAGTCAAACACAATTTTCCCAAATAAACGTAAAACAAACAATATACAAAAGCCGGAAAAAACTTGACGTAGTACTGTGCTTCTTTGTAATATTGAAAATGATTATTTAGTTATATTTCTTCTTCTATTTATATTAGTTAAATATATTTATGTTTATTTATTTCTTATTTTTTTTTTTAATTAAAAATTTCTTAATTTTATTTTCAAAATATATATATTTTTTCTTTTCATTTGAATGGGGACAAAACTATTTACGGATTTTCGTTTTCTTCGCCAATATATATAAACCGCTCGTACCGTGCAGAATTCAACTACTGAATTTATATTCTTTTCAGTATGACCCCAAATATGTTTCTAGTTTTGTTTCTATACAACAACATCTATTAGAAAAATACAAAAAATAAGTACTATACATTCTACATACATATCTACTAGATAGAATATTTATTTTAAACAAAATTCTTTGCACTCATTTAGCATTGGTGGGCTCCGACCAAGAGCTCAACACTCAAATAAAAATAATGCCTTTTATTGTTTCTCTTTTTTCTTTTTAGTTAGTAATATAATTTTAAAGAGAATAAATAAATCTGTAATAAAGTAGAAGAAGAAAAACTTTAGCCGATCTATGGCCACTTGAGTTTCTTTAATGTTTTTGTTGCTGCGGTTGATGTTTGTTTTTATGGGAATGATCTTTGCCCCGTCACTGCTGCTAATGCCATAATCGAGTTTAGTCACTTTACTTTACATCAGAGTTTTATAATAACTTATTCTTTTAACGGTGGATCTGTAAGTTTCAACATTAATGCAAGGGGTTATTTTTATGATAACATAAGTCATTTCTTAAATCAATTAACCTAAGTGTAAGTAAAAGAACTGGAACAAACCCTGTTGATTTTTTTTAAAATCGGTCCATGGTTTCTTAAAGAAACCATGCAAAAGAATCATTCTATATATAGATCCACATAACATTAAAGTCAAGTATCAATGGTTATGGAAATGGGATCATGAACTGTTGAAAATGTAGTCATACCATCACAGGGTACTTGTACCGAATGCCACTAACTCGTCTGAAGCGAGCATGTGTCGAAAAATTAGCAGAACATCAGGCCAGACATGAAATATGTCAAAGTGCTATACGTGAACACAGGGTGAGGTTATTAGATGACTTACCACCGCACCTTTGTGCTTCTTAAGGTCCATATATAAGCACTTTGCTCAAGTACTAAAGCTATTTTATCACTGACCAATACTGTCCCGTTGCTTAATTTAGACAACCACGCAGATTGGATGGTCTCCGTTGAGTCGGCAACAGCACTTAGATTTTATACGTAATCGGTATACTTAGGACTTGCTCTTACTTACACAGAACACACTGTAAAATATATTGGTATTACTTGCATAAGATATCTTACATCCATCATCATTAATTCATCTGTCTTTATTTTATTGAGAAAAACATCCGACACACTCACTCTAGGTATAAGTAAGATCCGCATACCCCTACATCCATCCCGTATCATATACACTTGACACCAACTCATTTCCAAAGCCCAGTCCCACAGTCACTCCTCTGTCTCAGTATTTTAACCAACATCCTCTTCCCGCGAATTTGGTTTAAAACCACAGCACCTCGAAGGTACCTCTACAATAACCGGGACAGGACTAAGTCCGAAACTCTGCCCTATGGGCTACCTGTTCCCGTAGGGCAGAGGATGTTTTGTCTCATCCACTTCATAGTCCAGGCCTTACCCTGTCCGGCTACTATTTGTTTCGATCTATGCACAACGGTCCCTGGATCCCTAGGATATGCTTCACCTCAAAACAGGGTATCCGAAATTGAATTGATTCATCCTTGGCCTCAAAAGATGGGCAATTCTCTTTTCTCGCAATAATTAAAAAAGAGTCATAACTGACAATGGACTATTATAGTATCCAGCTCACAATATCGTACAATACTCCCCACCCCTTTTGACGACACAGAAAATTTTTCGATATTTCCTTGTATTATTTTGTCTAAACATGGGAAACATTAATTAGGTTTTTTTCCTAATCCTAACAACAGCAAGTATATGATATAATCAGAAACAGGTGTTACGATATGAAAAGTTAGAATTGTCGAGCAGATTTTATCTCAAAATGTTCATCTGGTAGGGACTTGTGTAAAAACAAATTACAATTTCATTTGCTCTAAGCACAGCAGATGTACTAGAATTAGTCGTCAGATCTTATGTTCTGAATTTCAGCTTTGATATCAACAACAAATACACGAATTCCTTAGGGTAATTATGATTCGAAATTTTAAAATAACTTGATCTTATTCGGTAATTTATATTTTTTATTCAATTTGAATTAATTAATTGTAAACTCTGAATTGTGTACACACATTCTGTTGCTTGTTTTCATTCAGTTCGTTTAGCCATTAGTGATTTTTTTCTTAATTTTTTATTTATATTTATAAATTTAGCAAATTCAAAAAAAAAATTTCTTCAAAATTGCTTGTGTACTTTTAAATAAAAGCAAAAACAAAATAAATATTTGCATTAGACAATATTTTATCTAGAGCAAACGAGTCTGCACAGTTAATTAAAGAATTGATTGTAAACCAAACATGGGACTATTAATGCAATCCCTTTTCTACAAAAAAATACAATTGAGTGGTTAACAATTATAGAATTGAAACTATTTTTATTATTATACAATTTTGTTAAAAAACAACAATTTTATTTATTATTTC